AGAGTGCACGTTTTTAAATTTCTGGAGGTTCTTAAGAAGGTATCTACCTCCTGGGGGTGGCGTCATTGATTTTCCTGCACACTGAAGAGGGTTGGGCTAAATGATTCTTTGTGGCCTTTCCAACTGGACAGTTCTATCCTTCTGTAAGTTGTTTCCTGCCACATCCTTCCTCCTTTACCCCTTCTTTAGCTCAGGTGAGGAATCAGAAGCGGCCTTCATTTCTAATTTTCTGAGCATGCCCAGAAGGAAGGCTTCTCTAGGGCCCAAGACACGTTCTCGGAAAGAAAGAGGATGCTAGAAGTTAGCTCTGTGCAAGATGCCAGCTTGCTTTTTTTTAATGATTGATTGATTGATTGCATTTATATCCTGTTTTTGTTGTTGCTATTCTGGAAGCTCTAGGTGGTATATATCGGGTCTCCCATAATTTTATCCCTACAAAAAGAAGCCTGTGAGATCAAAACTCATAGCATTTTTTAACCTGAGTTACTCTCAAGGATAACACTGGGGAAAAACGGGATTTGGAAGCATGTCATTTCCCACTTTGACTCAAGTTTTAAGGGGCAACTGTGCTGTTCTCTCTGTTGCCTGTAGGTGGCGCCACAACAACACTTTCTTAGCAATTGTAATGCTGCGCCATTCCTGCCTCTATTGGGGAAAGTTTTGATAAAGTCTGTGTGTAATTTTCTTCGAAGTTAATCTCCACTTTAAAAAGTTCAGATGCCGCTGTTTACCTGGGAAGATGGTCCCTGAAATTGCATGCTGTGCAAACCTCATCCTTCCCCTTAGGAGAGAGCATAGTTTTCAGAATCTATCTTACAGATGGACGCAACCTGTGCTTGCTCTGGGAGTTACAAATGAGTAGGGAGGAGCAAAATGGACACAGGGTGGTAAAACCACACCTTGCTGCCTTCTTTAGTTCATTCAGATCACGTGCTCCAAACACTATTGAACAGTAATGGAACTCACACAACATGTTAGACCTGGATTAACAACACACTTCCTGTGTTCACATAAAATAAAATCATTTCCAAGGAAATAAATCAAATAATGGCTTACCATGATCACCTTGGTCACATCACATGCTAAGACAATGGTGGGGTTTCTACAAGATGATGAACGTTAACTCCCAAACTCCTAGCCTAGCATGCAGTGGGAACTCAACAGTTTCTATAGTCTGACGTTACAACTCCAGCTTTTTCAGTCTACCCAGTTCTACCAAGTTGAGTTCTCTGACCTCAGCCAGTCAGCTGGGGAGGTGAAATTTCCCTTCTGAATTTCCATCTGAGGCATCCTGTGGGCTACTTGTGAACAAGGAAGTGTGTTAAAGGAGGGGGGGTGTATTTGGGTGCAAAAATAAGGGTTGTTCTATCCAGTTAGGAAGAAAGACAGAATAGGCATGGAAGATTATTTCAACATATGATTACTGCAGCGAGATTATTATATGCACAGAAGTGGGAAGATTCAACACTACCCACTATGGAGGAATGGTTGGTGAAATTGACAGATCTTGAGGGGACATATAAACTAACGTCTCTGATTAGAGAAAGGACAACATCTAAATTTATTGGTGACTGGAGACCTCTTATGGACTTTTAGCGTCAAAATGAAAAAAATGAATTTGTGATTTATGGCTTTGAGGGTTAGACAGGATAGATTATAGAAAAATATGATTTAACTTTAGAGAGGTTAAAATATATTTGTAATAAGTACAAACTGCTGTAAAGAATATCAGAAGCCACTTCTCTGTACCTTTTTTCCTTTCCTTTCTTTTCTATTTTTCTTTAACTTTTTTCCTTTTCTCGCACTTTTTGCTCTTTGCTTTTTCTTACCTTATATTAGTCTGCATTAGTTTTTATCTTCTCTTTTAAAAGTTTTAATAAGAATTATATATTTTTTTAAAAAGGAAGAGAGATAGAGAGGTGATTTGTGTTTTAATGTATGCAGCCAAGGACATACCGTATTTACCTTTTATACTGAAACCTGTTTGATCACATCTGAACATATTAGATGGCAAAATCTCCCAGTATCTTAGATTAATATAACACATGCAATTTAAAACTTATCTTTATTTACTAACCGGATGTTCTTCTCAAATTGCATCACCTCTAACTTGCACAGATTTCAAGACAAAGGACCTTCATGCACCCCTCCTTTGTTTGAACAAAGGTGGGGAAAGCCAATTCATGCATCAATTTCCTCCTCTTGGGTGGAAGGTGCAACCTTAGCAGACATCTGTACAACCACTGGCATGTCGCAACACAGAGACATCCACCTGAAGTAGCTCTATGGATAAGCTTTTCTCCTAGGATTGGGTGATGATGCAAACTGCCTGGGTGTGCATAAGGAGAGGAACAAGGATTTTCCTTTTTTTCCTTTTAGTTTGTTTCTTTCCTTATGCTACACTTTCCACTGTACTTGCACCAAATCACAAGAGCTAAGGGCCACTTAGTCCATCCTCTGTTTGATGCAGGAATTCTAATTAAACCACATCTAATGGATGGCTGTCACGGCTCTGCTCGAGAAATTGGTTCCATTGTCAAACTGCTTGTTTGATTAGGATTTTTCTTTGCCAACAGTCAATCAGAATATGCCTTCCTGTAACCTAAATCCACTCCTCTGCCCTGTACTCTAGAACAAATCTCTTGATCTTCTCCATCCTTTCAGATATTTGAAGAGGGTTATCACATCCCTCCAACCTCTCTTCAGAGTCTAAATATACCCAATTCCTTCAATCTCTCTTCACAAGACAGTTTCCAGGTCCCTGATCACGCTTGCTGTCCTTCTCTGAACCTGTTCCAACTCACTGAATCCTTCCCTGCGTCTCCCACATCATGGTGGGAACGAGTACCGCTGGTTTTCAGTCGATATGGTCAAAGACAACCCCAGGGGCCACAACAACAGACAGACAAAAAGATAAGGGCCAGATGAGGTCTCAGGGGCTCCGGCTACCCACCTCTAACTTGTGACCAGACAGACAGATAGAAACTGTTTTAAGATTGCTACCCTATACCAGAAAGCAATGTGGTTTGGAGGGAATCGCCTGAACTGGATAGAATGGATTTAATAGCAAACTGTGGAATGAACGAAAATGGAAGCACTGAATTTAACTTTATGCACAAAAGTGGAAATGAAGAAAAGGGAATGGTGGCATTCCCATCATCTTCTGAGTCATGGTTTGGATGGTGATCTGCGAGTGCCCGTTCCTTATAGAGAAAGAACATCTTGACTGATTGGAGCAATAACTCACCTTGTCTTTGTTGGCTTTGATCTTACGAGGAACAGGAATATACGTGCTGTTAAAAAAGAAGCATAGTTCAGTCAGCCAAAGCCCCAACTTCTTACACTGGAATAAAAAAGCACCCTTAATTCTAAATTTAGTATTCCAGTAAGACTGTTGTTTGCAAATAGGAACCCAAATAAAGGGTAGAACATGAATTTGAAAAATACAGTGAGCTTACTTCCCCCACCCCCTTAAAGATACACGCAAAAGGAACAAAATCTTAAGGTGAGCGTGGCCTGTAGTTCATGTCAGAATGCAATTTATCTTCAGGAGGCCAGCTTCTATCTCTGACACATTCGACTACAAGTCCTATAATTCCCAGCCAGCTACTTCAGTTTACGTTCCCTTTCATGGAACTGTTCCTTGCATTCTGACTTAGCTGAAGCTATTGCCTATAAATACATGCACACAAACACCCTCCTTTAAAAGAAAGGTAATCCCTTCTTGAAAGGAAACTAATCCTTTTAAAGTAATCCATCAAGGACTGTAGTATGTTGTTGAAAGGAATGGAACGGAATGGAAGAATGGAAACCCAGGAGGGAAGGGAAGATTTTCTAATATGTTCTTCCATAACTCTCCTTTCAGCAAAGTGCAATCAAGGATGGTTCCCGTCCTAACCCAAAACTTCCAGTTTCACTCCCCGATTGTTCCCACTCCAAAATGCATGCAGCTCATTCGTATCCCTCATATTTTATTTATTCCTTTAGAAAAGTTAGCCCTTGCACACTCCCTCAGTGACTTTGGGTTGATTACAAGATCTGATAAAAACAGCTATAAAAGTAGCAATAGACCTAACGAAGCCCAAAAGCTGCAAACTGTTACATTAAAAGGCCTGGGAAAATATGTGAGTTCTGAGCCCTCTTCTAAACCGTAATAAAGAAAAGATTTGCTTTAATTACAAGCAGCAGTTTACTTCATAATATAGGTCCCCTCATTGGAAAAAGTCCAGTTTGTTGATGTCAAAAGTATCTGTGGTGGGACTGATAAACGTGATGCACTCTAAGCAATGTCCAAGGCTTGTTTAGAAAAAAATGCCAAAGAAGTTTTCTCAGTGGGTTTTGAATGAACAATACATGAACAGACAACGGGAGGAGAAGGCATTTACTATCTTTCCTTGTTTGGTCAGGAAACATGGACTTTGCAAATGATAAAACCTTTGCAACTTGCCAAATCTATCATGTACAACTTGTGCCATTGTCTTGAAAACAATTTTTGGATCTTGCAAGAAGATTAATTTGAAACCTTCTCGTATACAATTTAGGTCATAAGGTCCTTTGTTCTGAAACACCCTTTCGCTGAGTAGATGAAATACAATCTCGAATACGTATTAATATCAAGTTTTGTGCAATACAAAGATGACAGGTATTTCCTGGTCAAACAAGGGAACACCACTGATAGTCCATTTTCCCACCAAGTTTGCACGTGCATATATGCGTGTGTACTTTTAATGTAAAATCTGTTGAGAAACACTATTTCCCAATTTTGACATTAAGACAATAGCTGTCCTGGCTTAGTCTCAAGTGTTACAGAGAACAGAGGATATTCAGGAGAAATCACAAAGGACATTTTTATGCAATACAGAACTTATGGGAAACAATGGGGATAACCATTAATATAAGATAGTTTAAAAGAGGGTCTTTCTTCATTTAATTTGATTAGATATTATGAGCAGCGTTCTCCTACCAAGAACAGAACGATAAAGCTGGCAAGTTTTTCCTTGAAAGCGTTTTGCTTTCTTAGTTCAATTTCTAATTTTTGAGTCACTGAAATGCCACACAAGGCAGCAGTGGTCGTTAGAGAAGAAGCCTCTGAAAAACTGTTGAGATACATCTGACAAATGTCTGTCATACTGTCTAAACAGAACATCCAGGTTCAGAGGGAACACTATCGGATGCCTGCTGTTTAGGCACCAGTACACGGAGGGTATGGATCCTCTTTGTGGCCAATTGGCTACCATCTGAAACAGGACATTGGTCTAATGTGACCCATTGGGTTGACCACCATGTACCACTTTTATGATTTGGCTACCAGCTCGGTTTATTCCTTGGTGGATTTGGTGAGTATACTGGCTCTCAAAGGAAATGTGAATGAAAAACAGCATCTACATCTTGCAGCCGTACAAGTCAGTACACTTTTGGTTATCATCAATGCATGGCAAGAAATCCAATTTCAACAGGATCTGAGTTCTTGCAACATGATAGCTAAACAGTTTCAGACACAGAATGTTTTTCTGTTCTTGTTTTAATCTGGTGGTTAAGGGTAGCAAGATTGTCTTCAGTTTGTAGGATTTTGTTGAAGGACAGTAGAGATGTAGCTGGCTTTTTCTTAATTCAACCATCTCCTCTTCTTGTTAACCAGGTTTGTAGGTAGTTGGAACATATGGGAATGATCATCTTAGCAAATTTAGAGTGTTAGGTTGGATAAGGATGGAACAACAAGATGTCTCCATTTTAGACTGTTTTCTTTTAAGTGTCCTGCAAGATCATATAGAAGGCTGTTTATATTTTTCCAATTTTGAATATGATTTAAGCCACAAGTTCTGTTTTTAATCATGGCATGGGCTGCCATGGGAGGTCTGACCCAGAAAGATGGCAGAGTGAATTGGAAATAAAATTAAATTAAATTGGTGCACATCTGCTGCTCCACTGTGGTGATGTAGGAGATGTTTGAAATTGTACAGAAAGTCATCCTGGAGCCAAGGATCAATGCCAAGACCAAGCCTAACGCAACTTCATATGAACTGGAATCCCTAGGACATAACTTGGTAAAATATTGTTCAAAAAACTCCAGGCAAAATAATCAAGACCAGGCAAACTTTCTGGACATAATCCCAGCTCTCCAGAAGAGATAGCAAAACATAAGGTCAGACAGAAAAAGAAATTCCAGGAGCCATTAAAGAATGAAAGCCAGATAATGGAGACCAGTTTGATTAAATTTCTAACTGGAAAGTAACCTCTCTATATACAGAAGCATATATTAATTTCCCCAAACTTTAGAATTCCCTACTTCCCTATTTTAGCTTTGCCAGCAATTTTCTTTCAATTTCCCCCAGAATTTTTCAACTTCATTCCTTCTGTTGCCACCTTGCATCTCAGCTACCTAAAGAAAAACTCAACATGAAGAAGAATCCAGTTCTTTGATTGCTTAAGTGTCTTTGTTCCTCAGATCTACTTACTGATTGATGGTGCCATTTGTGAGGGCACTGATGACCCAACGCAAGTCTAAGATTTTGAATGGGATGAGAATCATGCTGACTTCCTCCCCAAGTTCTCGATAGCTCTCTGGGTAGACAAAGTGATGAGTGGTTTTGCTGCCAACATCTGGCTCAAAGCCCACTGTTGGGGCTTTGTTCATTCTTCAGGCAAAAAGGGGGGAAAAAAGCAGAGAAATGAGAAGAAAATATCAGTCAACAACAAGAGAAACACTCATTGTTTGGCTATATATGCATATCTCTTGATCTGAAAGACAGATATGGCACAGCTCTTATTTGAAGCTGTGGTTAGAAAGCGTCATTTCCTAGAAGTGGCTGGAACTTGTTAGATAAAGGAGAAAAACAGTAGTTAAGCAGAGTTCATTTTACAGAAGGTATACTTTGACCCTTCAGTGAGGAGCAGAGCATTGCTCATTTGGGATGAGGAGGGTGATAAGGGGAAGACGTAAGCCTGCTATGTGAATAAACTGTTTTCTCAATTTATCTGCTTGCTACAAGAAAAGGCCTGTGCAAATTTACTTGAGCAAGGTTAAATAGTGGTGATCTTGCTCAATTTCTTTTGATATTTTGGAATTCCCATGGAATAGTTCAAGGATATCCATGAGATTTTATTTTTAATGATGGCAGGTGTAGAGGGCTCCCATGGCCTAAAAAACTGGCAACATTTGGGTAAAAGGCGATTAAGTTATTTGTTTCTTGGGCACAATTCGTCCATATGTGGCAGGGCATGAGCAGAAAGGAAGGAAAGCTATAGAGAAGAAACTAGAATGGGAAGATGGGAATCCAATCTTGTGCAAATGGGATTCTGCTCTCTTTTGCCATGGTCTCCTATGCCTCCTTCAAAGGACAGCTGCCACGGACAAGGAAGATAACAACTCATCCTACTACTTTCTGTTGATGGAGGCTACTCTCTCTCCTGGAGGGGTTACTTGAACCCAGTGCCTTGCAGCTACTCACCTAAACACGAAGTCATGAGTGTCGATCTCTTGGCCGTACTGCGACCGCCGAAGATTCCCTGAATTCCCTACAACGGCACACCTCCGGCACCGCGAACTGCTCCTCTCCGAAAGGTGCTCCCAATCTCCTGGAATGAAGCTGAAGAATTCCTGGAGGGTCTCATTAATGCCCTTGGGACTTCTTTCTCCCTGGAGTTTCTGTAGAGAAGATGGGGGGACTCACTCCAACATTCTGAACTGCTTGGACATCAAGGAGTCAGAACACATCATGCAACAAAGTCTGGCCTCTATAAAGCCTTCCGAGCCATATTCGTTTGATCCATGAGAACATGCAATTAGTTGTTGATCTATCTCCTTCCATCACTGGGGGCTGAGCCCTCCACAGTAATGTCCCTAAGATTATCACTGCCCTTTTTCATAGGTAGTGTAGTACTCACTTATGGTGCTATATCTGGGGTATCACTGGAGTAAATCCAAAATCTGCACTCCCTTTCCCTATCTCAACATGACCCAGCCTTTGCCACAGAGTCTTCTTCACCCCGTTCATGAAACCCATCATAATTACAATCCAAGCTTTCAGCTAATGAACAATGTAATAGTATCACTGCAGCTTACAACTCTGTATCTTTCAACTATAAATCTGGTTTACATTGTGCTAAACCATGATTTGCTTGGCTTAGATCATCATGAACCCAGACACAATGGTTTATGAAGTAAACCATGGATTAGAAAAGTATATTTTAGCGTCACATGTCCAGAACAGGCCAGGATAAAACCAGCAATCTTTCTTCGATATGCAACTTCCAAGTCCTGGCTGATATTTCCCTCTTTGCTTTCTCAGTTCCTTACAAAGATTTATTACAAGCAAACATGATTTCAGAAGCTGTTGGGTGTTTTTCCCCCCAAGCCCAATTATAATTGGAAATCAGAAATGAATCAGCTGGTCGAACTAAAGATTGTAAAAATTCAGTTGCTGACTTCAACGATATTGATCCTTCAAGGGTTTTGGCAAGCTCTGTGTTTTCAGGATCGATTTAATAAGGGCCCCTGAATATTTGAAAACTGCCTGCCAGAAACCTTTCAAGGACAGCTTGGTTCAGAAGTGGGATACCTAGAAGCAAACTTTTCCAGGACTTGGCATACATCTACTGCCTTTCCATTAAGAACAGCTAGACCAAGGAACAAGAGAATGCTTCCTGGGACCAAAGGCCATAAAACTACAGTGATTGAAGTGTTGGACAAGGACTGGGGAGTCCCAGGGTAAAGGCCACTCTTAGCTACAGAAGCTCTGTGATTCTCAGCCGGGCACTGGCTCTCATCTCCATCTACTTCACTGGGTCGTTGTGGTGAGAATGGAGAAAGAAGTGCAGTGTAGGTCATCTTATGCTCTTGGAGGAAAAACAGGCTTTAAATAAAAAGAGATTGGCCACCCCATTACTGCCTCTTGAGTAAATTATTTGGTGGTATCAGCACCATGAAAGGTTTTAAGACAGGTATGCAAGTTCAAACTGAGGCCAACCTTTGAGTGTTATGTCTGGACCTGCTGTCCTAAAATAGTCAGGGCTAGGACAAGACCTAGATTTGATTTCATTTTCACTTAATCAACTAGAGTTCATAGGAATACACACATATATTTAATCATTTCCCATGTCTCTTATATTTTATTATGATTTGGCAGCAATGTTTGGAGGGCCTTGGGGGAGCCCACCCATGTCTTGGGGTACATTTTCAGAACCCCTTGCTTTAGGACTTGAAAGCTAAGTAATGTTGTGGGTGTGAGCAAGGCTTAACTCTTTACATTACAAATAAATTCAATAACTAATGAACTAACCAACCAAACTTTGCTCTGGGCATTTAATACAGCAAAAGGACCTGCTTACCCCATATGAACTGCCTGCACACGTTTGGTTTTGGGGGTCTAGCAATGAAATCAGTTGGATTTGTGGGAATGAAGAAGCTGGAAATTTCAATGGGTGTCACTTCAGCTATGAAATTCTCTCTTGGGGAATTGCTTGTTAAGTCATAAAACCTCATTCAGATTGCTTCTAACTCCCCCATCACCCCCTAGCAAAAGGGTCTCAATTGCAACCATTTGATTCCCCCCCCCCCAAAAAAAAACTATTGATTTATTTAAAGTTGGGTGATGCTAAACTATTTCTGGAGATGCTTTTAAACTTTTATTTCATTGTTTTTGCAAAGCCTTGAAGATGTAACTGGGGATTTCAAATAAAGTTGTAAACTTTTAAAGTATTTTTTATATTGTACTATATTAGTCCCTACAGGAGGATTGGATTATAAAAGGAAGCCAAGAAACACTTGCAAAATAGTTTTTTAAAAAAAAAAAAACAGTAACTTTTAAAACTTTAAATGTACGCTTTTCCCCAGATTTAATTTCTGGTGTTTTGCTTTGCTTTTGATAGGCTCTTAAGGTATGAGATAGCAGCTGAGCAAAACAGTTGCTTTGAGGGGGAATCTCCAAAGTCAATGAACTCTGGTTGGTGGAAGAAGTTTAAATATTATTTTTCAGTACATCATTTAGAAAAGAACACTTACAAAATGTTTTTTTTAAAAAAAACCCTCTCGCAATATTTCATGAATATTCACAAATATACTTTCTACGTATTCTTTGCCTTGTCTGAAAACCTTAAGAATTTCTCTTCTCCTGCCTTTCATTCCAACCTTCATTGGAAAATAGATCCGTTGCAGGTGTGAGAGAGAATTGCTTAACCTACTCAAAATGTGCAGTTATTAATTCAGTAACATCTGCAAACTAACACAGAATTGGGGCTTAGATGTGGTCATCCTTCCATGCACAGGGTTGCCACAAATATTAAGTTCATGGATATGCAGCAAGCCTAGTGGGCAGAACCAATAGAAGTGACTTCCTACTTTGATGATGAGACTGGTAAGGCCACAACACTCAGCTGGTCATGGTCAATCTCATATATATGCCAAGCAGGATTAAACCTAGTCATTATGTCGATGGGAAGCCACCATGAATCCTGGAAAGCTACAGGCTAGACTGGAAAGTAAAAAAAAAAAAAAAATGAAATAGGAGAAGATAATGGCCACTTCCATATTATTGCCACAAAATCTACATGCACATCTCCATGGACTGAAAGGAGACTATTTTTCTACCCTTGATGAAGTTTATTGAATTTCCTTACAAGCTTCTACGCCACACTTTTAAAAATAAGAGAGTTCCCCCTTATGGGGTCTCAGAACCTCCCACTTAAAATTCTTAGACAAAGTGAGGGCTGCAAGGGAGGGGGTGACAAGGCCCCCATTCTTTAGCCTTTTGTAAGGCTCTCAAGACTTTGGGGCTGGGCAGTGAGATGAGCTGTTCTACACTTGGAGAAAGATATGGGCCATGGGCCTCAAGTAGCCCATCCCTAAGCCAAAAGAGCTACACTTCGATCACTCCATCTCCCTCCTCTCGTTCCTACTCACCAGCCACCATCTGTAGCTCTCCTGGGGTATGAAGGCATTCTGGGTGGTTAAGAAGGGTTGCATAGTTATGTTGAACCTTTCGTCAAACCAGGCTGAGGTTTGTTCCAAAATGCAGGTGTTACAACTACACGGCCGCCTGGAGTATTTCAGCAGTTTTTTAACCTGCTCTGAAAACTGGTACGCGATTTGCTTGGGATCCCAGGAAGTAGAGACTATGCTGTTCGTGTAGTTGAGCAGGAATGATGTGATGGTGATGATAAAAAGTAAGGCAAGAGTAAACATTTTCAGGCTTCTGTTCCGAAGGGGCATCATTCCGACTGATGGATTCCTTTATGCAAGAGCCCAAGATGATTAGATAAGTAGGGTGTGGGAGGGTGGGGTTAAAAAAGGGAATCCGAAGTCTTTGTTTAGGCCACTAGTAGCTGTTTACGCAAAGGAACGGCCCTTGAGATGGTGTTCTCGAGCTACGAAAAGGAAGCAAAAGAAACTCTCTTTCCTCTTCACCCGAAAGTAGGTAGGACAAAAATTGGTCTTTGCATTTTTCCTTCTTCCCCTCTCCTTGAACGGCGACTAATTTCTCCTTCCAAAAGTTGAATCAAAACAAAACAATTGTAATTTTCGTTTTGGGAAGAAATTGCTAGCAAACTCAAGCTTAGATAAGAAAAACACTTTTTTCCCCTAAAAAATATTTTAGTAAAGTCACTGGTTAGAACTTATACAAGGTCAGGTCATCAGGAATAAGGATTCAAAAACCTTGATCTTGTGAGCTGATGGAATTCCTTTTCCACCTGGAAATACAAAAGAGAAGGGACAATTTCACTCTGCCTTTTAATACATAGTTGCAAATTCTATTTTCTAATCTTCCATCCATTTTAAATGAATAGAAATTAAACTGTTCTCTTCTTCTTTGCAACAAGTGCCTCCTGAATTATGCAAGTATTTTACATAAACACTTACAATATCACACAATGTCCCCCACCTCTGGCTAGCTGAACGGCAGACAACCGCTATGAATGAATAAATGAATGTTTAGAGTGGTCTCTGGCCAATCGAAGTCCAGTTGTGCAATCCGTAGTATACTTTGTGAGCATTTCACGGACTCTTTCATTAAGCCACAACTGGTAGCCATTTTATTTTTACTGGCTGTTTATAACAAAGGCAAATATAACAGGATTAAAAGGAAGGGAGAGAACCCAGCAAATCTTCATCTGCCCCACACAAAAGACAATCTTTATCTGCCCCCCACACAATTTTTGGGTTTTTAGGTTGCAACCTTGTTAGACTAGTAACACTTTTTTTCTTCAAGGTTGCTTCAGTTAAGCCTCTGGAGGGATCCCATAGCCCCCCCCATTTTTGGGTTTCTCCAAAATTTGCCACCAATTTTTGCATTTTTTTAATGTGGTAGAAGAAGGAAATGATTAAAAACACAGGGAATTAATCATATTCACTGTACTGAATTTAATGCACACGTACAAACAATTCATTTCCTTTCCTTTTTCCTTGGCGTAGGAACACGGAGATTTTTGTTACTGTAGAGTTTGTGACAGCTTTATGGGGCAGTGATTTGTGCTCCTTGTCCTTAGTATGGCAATTAGGAAATTATGGAGAGATATTTTTAATCATTTGTGGAAGTGTGTGTCCAAGCTCCATAAGGAGATCATTCCACATACAGTACAGTAGTACCTTCACGGCTACTAAATGAAAATCAAGTGGCTATGATGCCAGTAAGAAGAGCATCTTCTGATGCAGTAATAAAGGCATCTCTGCAGAATGGAACAACTGAGTAGGTTTATAATGGAGAGTGATTTTAATTGTTTAGGGCCTTATAAAACAACAATACTTTACAATAAAACAACAACAATAATATGCTTCACGGTGAATAGCACTGTGGCAACTACAAGATGAAAATAAATATTTCTGGCATCAATGTGATAAAGGTTATGGTCATGGCTCCTCTGTGTCAAGTTCAGCTTTTGTTGACTTTATAGATATATCCAGGTAATTTTTTGAGCAACAGATATGGAAGGGGTTCGCCATTATCTTTTTCTGAGATGTCATTTTGTCTTCTCCATCTAGGTTATGATTCAAGAACATCTCACCTTGTACTTGTTTGGTTCTCTTAGTACTTGCCTGTACCTTTGGCAAGGCTTGTTTGATTAATCCAGGACATAAAAAAAAAAGAGACCCCCTTTCCACAAAAGAAATAAAAAGAGCCCCCTTCCACAAGACAAACGTGAGCCTTAGCATGACTAATGGAAGGCTAAAAGGAATTTCATCATGGAGAGTCAAACAATTTCTGAAAGATGTGGAAATGCTACTCTTGTGATATGACCTGGACCATCACAAATCAGCAGCAAAAGCTGGAAGGAAGTTCAGTCATAAATTACAGCAGGAGGACCTATTCAGCTTCCTTGCTTGGTCTGCCCCCCCCCCCACCTCACCATTGCATCCCATTCGGGTGTTTTAGCTCTGCTTTGGCTTTGTCACTATTGGTCCTACTAATGAAAAGCTCATGGCTGTCACGCCTGATCATACAGCAAATCCTGGAGAGTAAACAACTGCTGCCCCAAGTCCACAGAAGAAGGATGAGGCTATCATTAACCAGACAAATTTAGGTCATAATAAAGGTATTATCTTTAAGCTACCACAATCTCAATGAGTAGCATCACCTAAGCGATCCCGGTTAATCTGAAAAATGTTAAGCAGGTTCAAATGTGGTTAGTACTTCGATGGGAGACCAAGAAAATTCTAGGAGAAAAAAAAGTATGGCAAACCGGTCTGTATTTTTGCCAAGAGAACAACATAGATAGGTCTGTGAAGTCACAAGGACTTGAGCCCAACTTGACGAGAACTTTAAGACATAACAAATCTCCCTGTTCTTTTGGTTGCATCAAATTAACATGACGACTCCTCTGTGCAATGACGGACAGGAGAAGAAGCCATTTTCCATTGTTGGGTCAATAAACAGGACTTACTTTGTGGCCATACAGAAGAAGAGGTAGGACTCTGCAAACACAAGCATATATAGCCCAAATCACAGAGTTTACCAGCTGGGGCCCATATCCAAATAGAATCACAAAGGGCATTTTTAACTGACATGGAAAGGAGTTTTCTTTTCAGGAGAAGAGTAAAAATCAGATTTAGATCCTGCCTTTCCTCCAAAAGCTCAAGGCAGCATATGCAATTCTTCCTCTGATGATTTTTCTAAAGCTAACATCACCCAGGATTAGCATGTTGTGTGAATACCGCCGCTCCATCTTCAATTGACCTGGGATGACCACAACCACAGCATATAACAGCTTAGGGTTTACCCATCGATAAAGGAGCACCATCCTTGGGAGACCTCTCCGGTTAAAGCATACCCTTGCTTCCAACTCTGAGAGAGGGTATTCCAGATATTGCTGACAGGGGTTTGCCCGGTATTGAGAAATGGCCTCTTGCTTTGTACAGACCACATCCTTTGCATATGCCCAACTTACCATTGTGCTGACAAGGATGAAAAGCAAATGGAAAAAGTTGCTTCTTGGGACTACAACAGTTCCAAGGCTAACACTGGGCATTTTTTGGACATGCGCAGCACGACACTACTAAGGACTTGACAGAGCCTGTAGAACGGTTGTTTAGCAGTTGTAGCCACTGTCCTTTAAATCAAGCATTTCATCACTCCCTTCCTTGCGCGTCCCCAAATGTTCTGTTTAAAGGCTTGGGTTTCTGATTAAACCACTACCCGGGGGGTGGGGGGAACAAGTAAAGGCATTGGTGCCCTACCTCTCAAAGTGCTTTTAAACATGTACTGCTAAATTCTATCCCAAAGGAAGTTGTTGGGGGCTTTGAGAAAACAGGGATAGCTGGAGCAACGCTACCTTCAAAAAAGGGAAGAAGGAAGCTCCAAGAAATTACAGCTCTGTCTGCTTGATTGTTTATGCTGGACTAGGTCAAGCAGATGATTCAACAGTATGCTTGTGAGCACTTGGGTAGGAAGGCAGCAATGGGACCAGAGTTAAAATGGACTTAATAGTCAGGGGCTATATGACCATGGACATATAGGGTAGCTGGAACTCAGCAAAACCTTTGACAGACTGCCTCATGATGTCCTCATTAATAAAATGATAAATATAGGCCATCTGAAGCCATGGTTTGTACGGCTAGGGCTTGTTGAATATGCCACAACTGGCTGGGTTAATGCTTCTTTCCAGGCCATAAATCATAATCAGCAAACCACAATGGCTAGTTTCTGACACCAAGGCATAATAGAACAAATCATATTTTAGCTTAGAATGATGTGTGAATCCAGCCACTGACTTAAGTAAAGTTGGTTCATTCCACATTTCAGTCCCCTGTGGCATTCTTTTAATCAAAAGTTTACAGCGAGAAACATATATTTCCTCCCTGACCTGCTTTATAACCTGGACGAGAAGAAAATATATTTTACATTTACTGCTGCAAATTTCTGTTTTATAACTAGTATACAAAAAAAAAAAAACTACATTACAATCTCATAAATCAAATTTCCCTACCTTGTTGACTGGGAATTATGGAACATAAGTCCAACACCTCTTGAGGGTTTATGTTGGGAAAGCTGACCTACATGTTGATTCTGAAATCCAGTAAGGCTTCTTTCAAGGAATCCCCCATGCACTCAACCAGTTTTACTTCTTGCTCACTTTGCTTGAATGGCAACTTTAGTGAATGCACTAACAGAGCAGTCATGGCTGAAATAGGAGTGTCGGTCTGAACAAGCCATACATCAATAATGCCACCGCCCAGCTTAAAATTTCGCAAAGCG